CTGCAGGAGCAGAAAACACGGAGGTAAAAGAGAGAATATGTTTTTTTTTTCTTGTAGTTTGAACTTTAAAGACATTTAACCAGCAGTTGGCCACTGTGTGTGTATTTGTGTGTGTGTGTGTGTGTGTGTGTGTGTGTGTGTGTGTGTGTGTGTGTGTTTGTTTACAGCAGGATGCGCTCTGTTTAAGACGCCGTCTATCCAGAATCTGTCAGGCAGCTTGTAAGCCGAGTCGAGGGCACAGAGAGCAGCTCGTCAATAACTGTAAAAGGACACTTGGCCTATATAATCTGATTCCTTTCTGAGGGTTTCCTCAGCGTCTCTACGCTCCATGGACTTCCTGTCTCTCTTCGTTTCATTATTTAGAAACTGGAGACCGACAGGAGCGGCACAGACAAAGCCTGAATTCTTAATGAGGCTCAAACCAACGTGCCATACTAATGAAATACAGTTCATCTGAAGGAGGACTTTGGCAGAGACCTGATTTGAGGCTGGGGGTTAATTAACGAGTGTTTGTGCTGAATGGAGGGATGGAGGGAGAGTTATCAGTTGCCCCGCTGCACGGGTCCCCTGGTGGTTCAGCACAAATTGAGAGAGCAGAGCAATTCCCCAGGAGTTTGGTTTAATTTCTTCTGTGAGAGCGATTCCATTGAACCATGTTAACCCCACAGCACCATCAGGAAATTAAGTCGCAAAAAGAAGCTTAAGGTTTCCAAACAAAATGAAATGAAAGGCTGTGCTGTTGTCGTCTTCATCAGCCGGCAGCTCGAAAACTGTGTGAAGAGAAAATGATGTTTCTAAATGTAAATAAGATGCAGGAAAACAAGGACAGTGTGTTCTGACCAACCGTGCTGCATTCACTTACTGATGAACGCACTGAGGTGCATACGAACCGTGATGCGTTCACTTGCTGACGAACGCACTGAGGTGCATATGAACCGTCACTTACTTCAGTGCAATTGAGCTGTGATGCGTTCACTTACTGATGTAAACATAAAAGTGCATTTGAACCGTGATAGGCGTGATGGAGACTTTCCATGGAGCAGAAGTTTAAATAAAAAAATTGCCCATGCGTGGTTTACCCTGATGACATCACCATGACATCATCTGGGTTATTTTCCCAAACCTGTCAGAAACGCTCCGGGACCACAGAGGACATCAAACAGCTGTGAACTCTTCCTGTGACCTTCATGTGTGGAAGTGGTGTAATGGCCCTTTAAAACTTTGTTTGACACCCTAAATAAAGATTATTCAAACAGTCTCCAGTCCTCTCCCAGTCAGTGACCATGGTTTCAGACTGGACTGAACCTTCTCAGTTCATTTCCCAGCGTGCTCTGTGGTCTCCCCCGCCTCCCCTCCCTGGTGGATTATCATGTAATCCCTGATATTCATCAGCCCGGGGGTCAGAGGTCGTCGTATTACAGCTGCGCTGATGAATTTGATTGTTCTGGTCTGTGGGGTTAAAGAGGAGCAGAGACGCAGTTCAACATGATGAACTACACTTTGATCATTTCACTCCTCTCAGCTCAAAGCCACTGCAGAACGTACGTCAGCAAGTGAATGCATCTCCACTCAAATTAACTTCAGTAAGTGAACACATCACTGCTATAGACTGTCCATAATAATGGACGTAGCTACCGTGACATCACCCGCTGGTTTGTGGACTCTCAGTGTGAAACCTTGTGTTCAACATTACAGCAGTCGCCATCTTGGTTTTTGGAGCCAGAAGTGACCATATTTGGACATGAGGGTGGAGCCGTGGAGGAGCGAGAGGTGGATCTGACTCACAGACTGTGGAGCCACCTCACAGACAGTCTGTCACTCAAAGCAGCCACGCTTGTAATTTAACTTTAAGCCTTAATAAAATGTGAACAGGTGAGTTCTATAGGTGGTCGTCGCACTTCTGCATCGGCTCAATGTTTCAGCCTCGGAGGCTGCTGCTTGATCACAGCTCAGATGTTGTACAGCTCTGATCTGTGTATCAGAATTCAGTTTCTTCTTCTCTCCAGTCAATGATCTGATGACCCCTCAGATTTATGTGGAGGCCCTTCGGAGGGGCCCGACCTCTAGGTTTGGAACCTCTGGACTAAACTAATTAACTGTATATAAAGTAGTTAAACTGGCTCCATGTGGAGAAGCTATAACAGCACAGTAAACCCCAATTCATTGACTCAACTTAGATTTTTTCATTGGAAACAGCTTCCACTCAAAACCTTTAGTTTACAGTGACATCAACATTATGAGTTCACCACACACAAAATAAATGTGTCACATGACCTTTGACAGGAATATCATGTCAGCTCAACATAACTTTTTGTTGTTAGAAATTTTAATTCTGTCATATGAACATAAAAACACTGACCACACATTTTACAACTACTTTCTTTTTATTTCATTGCACTTGAAAAACACAATGTGGCAACCTCAGGCTTCTCAACTGCAAGAACAAGGTAAAGAGATGAACTCTGAACCAGGAAGTGCTCTGTATTTCACCTCAGCACATCTTTCTGTCAGACACTCTGATATCACCCAGGCAGGAGGCCGCTAACTGTGAATATGACTGAACTCACGATGCAAAATGTCTTTTACCACAACATTAACTGTAACTCATTAGGACCACTGTGAAATACAGAAACATTAATCACTGTGTGACAGGTAACCTTAATGATTCACAACACATTTTCTTATGGTCACACAGTTTGTCTCATGGCATGCTGGGAAGTTTTCCTGTTTTCTTCTTGTGTTTTGTTCCTTTTTGCCGTGGATTTTTAATTATAATTTTGTCTTACACTATGATGTAATGTTTGCTTGTGTGGACCCTGGGAAAAGTAGTTGCTACCTTGATAGTGACTGATGGGGATCCAAGTAAATAAATAAATAAATGTTAGGAAACTCCAGCTACAATATGTTAAGTGCACAATGATAGTGTTGTTTACTGGCCTTAAGGTGAAATCGGCCTTATACATTTTAGTCAGATTGACTCAAAACTCAAAAATTGTTCATTCACTAGAAAAAAATTATATCAAGCTTGTATGCAATGAGTTTGTGTGTCAAGTGAACACAAAGTTTTTATGTCACTTTGACAATTCGGGGCATTTGTGTAGACTTTACATTAAAATCTTGTGTCATGGATGGAGGTGGGGTTCACAGTGGATAACATGCTGCTCTTATACTGATGCTTCATTATTAACCAAGTAATAATGTCATATATAATAAAACAACACTCACATGAGCCATTTTATTTCAGAGTGAGTGCTTTACTTGAAGAACATTTAGCTGATAATACTTCTGCACTTTTATATAAGTAGGATTTTGAATGTAGGACAAAGAAAGTGTGGATTAAATCCATATTTCTGGAGCTCATAAGAGACTTTGTGAGGCAGACACAAAGAGGTTTTCTCTTTCCACTGAAACATGTCTTAATTACCTGAAGTTAAAAAACATCTGCTGTGCTCAGTTTTACGGCAACATGACCACAATTAGTCAGACGAAACACATACACACCAAAACACAGAGTAAGGTTGTGTGTGATCCACTCTGAGTGCTGCCAAACACAAACAGGACATAAGAAACCAACCAAACATTTATTTAAGAGAGCAGGGAAGTCACCGTCACAGCAGCTGACCTGTCGCTTATTAGATCTGCTCTGAAACAACCACCTGCTTCTTGTAAAGCAACACAATGCAAATCATGAGTGACATAATACTGTGTGTGTGTGTGTGTGTGTGTGTGTGTGTGTGTGTGTGAGGCTCTGTGTTTTATCTTCTGTCCTTTTCTATTAATCCTCTGTGTTTGGACGTCAGTCTGCACAAACGTTGTCAATCAGGCTTTAGCTGCATTTAAACAAAATCTTCAGAGCAGAGTCCAGTTTTGCTGAAGAGTCATCATCATCATCATCATCAGAAAGGCGGCTCTGCACTGCAAAAAACTACAACTCTCTTTATTCAGTTTATTGTATCACAGAGTGTCTGTGTCCACTGTAGCTACATCTGGTGCAGAGCATTTTTTCTTTTCACCTGAGATTCATATTTTTGTGCATTTTAGTAAATAAATCTAATAATATAGAATAAAATCTCATGTTTAACTCAGTCACATCCAGTGGTGAAGGAAGCACTTGGTAAGTTAAAGTAGACGTACTGCAGTGTAGAAATACTCTGTTACAAGACAAGTCCTACATTCAAAATTTCACTTAAGTAAAAGTTCAAAAGTTTTATTCATTCATTCATTTTCTGTAACTGCTTATCCTGTTAGGGGTCATGGGGTGCTGGAGAGGCAGGGTTCACCCTGGACAGGTCACCAGACTATCACAGGGCTGACACATAGAGACAGACAACCATTCACACTCACATTCACACCTACGGACAATTTAGAGTCACCAATTAACCTGCATGTCTTTGGACTGTGGGAGGAAGCTGGAGCACCTGGAGGAAACCCACGCTGACACAGGGAGAACATGTCAGAGCACCTGGAGGAAACCCACGCTGACACGGGGAGAACATGTCGGAGCACCTGGAGGAAACCCACGCTGACACGGGGAGAACATGTCGGAGCACCTGGAGGAAACCCACGCTGACACAGGGAGAACATGAAAGCTCCACACAGAGGGGCCCCCCACCCTGGGTTTGAACCAGGAACCCACCTGCTGTGACACCTGCACCACCTTGCCTCCAGACAAACGTTTTAGCATCGCAATTAACTAAAAGTACTGAAAGTAAAAGTTCTCACTTTGCAGAATGGACCATTTCAGAATTTTGTATGATACATTATTTGATTATAATTATTGATGCATTCATGTTTAATGTTTTTTTTCTTTTACTATTACTTTTACTCAGGCTAAGTAAAAGCTCAGAGTACTTCCTCCACCACATTCTGAATCGAGTTGCCTTCACGTCATTTTTTACAGTGTAAAAGAAGAGAGGGAGGAAGAGGAGGGGGAGGGAGGGTGAAAGAGGTGGAGGAGGAGGAGGAGGAGGATGGTCCTGCTGTCAGACACAGATGAGAATACAGCGGCAGGTTTCAGGAGGGCACCGCCGTTAGGTAATCGCCTCTCTTCTCTCCTCAGCAGCAGCAGCAGCGGGGACCAAACGGAAGCGGAGCTGAGCTGAGGAAGAACAAATCCTCCTCCTTTAATTCAATCCAACTCCTGAGCTGCCGAGAGGAGACGTGTGCACAACGCTGAGGCTGCACAGGCACACGGCCAGCCTGCAAACTTCACAGCGGATCTATAAACTGTAATAACACTCTGCCTCCTCCTCATCCTCACCTTCATCATGAGCTGTTACACAGGTTTGGCTTAATGAATGAGGAGCAGCTTCATCGCAGCAACAGATGAGAAGATGCACGGGACAGAGAACAGAGACGTTACAGAGCTGAGGCTGCACACCTGCGTCCTGTGAGGTGAGCATTCATCCATTCATTCTGTCTGAACTTTAAATCTACAGGACACACAGCAGCGACCTGTCATCAGACAGACTGTAACTTTAACACAGCACCACTTACATTACTGGGCTCCTCTTTAATTAGCTGCTGCTCTCATTTCTGTTTCTAATTAAGTCAGATATCACAGTATAAAGACTCCACTGTCACCTCCACTGGTTTTAAATTGGACCAGTAAAGTAGGTTTTCTGGAACATGTCATGGCTCCAGCTTCACTGATGTAAAAATCTGCTGCTTTTCCTTTAAAAGTGTTAATAATGTCATGTATCATTAATAATGTTGAGGTCTGGACTGTTGGACGAAACACATATTGTGGAGGTGTCACTTCAGGCTTTGGGTCATTGTGATGCCATTTCCCACATTTTTTTTTCTATTATTTTTACAAAACAAAAACTCAATCAATCATTAGAGAAAATAATCAGAAGAATAATCCATAGTAAAAAAGATTATCTGTCAAAATGAGCTCCAAAATCCTGCTTTTACATGAATGCATGAGTCATAATCATCTACTGAGATCATACAGACTGCATCAAGCATTTTTATCTGTAATACATTTTCCTGATGATACTTGCAGTACTTGTGACGGACTATTTTCACCAGGGGCGTAAATAAAGACACTGCAGGCAGTGCGGTTGCACAGGGGCCCGTGGGATGGGGGGCCCCTTAGAGAGAGCAGGCCCTCCAACAGCATGTCGACCATAGAACAGGCTCTTGTAACCTCAGTAACACGCCCATGTTCAAAGGAGAACTCATGTTAATGTTTATTTTAAATGCACGTGCAGAAATGCTAGCTTCAGGGTTTCTGTAACGTTTATTTGTTCACTTTGTTCACTTTAACCGCTGAGACCCAGCCACTGGACGTACAGACACAAAAAAGATATCGATGATGTTGTCTCAATATGAAAATGATAGAGAAAGGGCATAACTCACAAATCGTCTGAGTATTCTTTTAATTTAAAAAGTGGGGTCAACCAGAGGTGGGAATCACCAGAGGATCCAAGATATGATATTATAACGATACTTAAGTCACGATATAATATAGACTCTTTTACTGTTAGCAAACTGTATGACGGTTTTTGGTGGGCGGGGCTTAGCTGGAGGCAAAACAATTCTCCGCAGACATTAGCTAGCAAGTTCTATTGGTTTGTTTTAGACGATGGAGGAAGATGATGTGAGTGGTGCGTTCAGAAACACTCATTCTGAGTGCTGGAGCGCACTCTGACACAAACTGGAGCGTTGATAAATTGGGAGCGCTGTCTGAATGTAGCGTTGGGTCATCCAGAGCAGCGCACTCTCAGAGTGGCAGAGCGCACTCTGGACACTCTGTCTGTGGAGACGGAGCAGCAGAGCGCCGAGCGGAGTGAATGTGTGATTAACTTCAGCGTTGGTTCATTCATGTAGAAATATAACGCTGCGTTTCTTCCACCAACAGGGCTCTCATTTTAGTGTAGAGCGTCAGACTGAATTTACCAACGACCGTACATGATGATGGTGAACACCACATGGTGGCATCGCTGGTAAAAATGGTGTTGATGGTAAAAGTAACGGCACACGAACAATAAAACAGAGACCATGTGTGCATGAGTCCATTTAGAAGAGATCAAATTTAAGAGTATCTCCAAAAAACGATCTCTATTCATATCCAGCTATGTGTTAGTTTTATCTTTCCAGGTTTTCAGATATTCATCTCCTGACTCCTCTGCCTGCACCTCAAATACAACAGAGGTGAACAGAATTTATTTTCTGGTGTTCACAGTGTTGAAAATTTCAACAGCAATAGCATCTCTGTTTCGGCTTATATTCCTCACCTTCGTGCACAAGAGATGGAAACTTTGACAAAGTGCTCAGATTGGACGTATTGATGACTCACTCAGTTTAACTCTTCATATAGGCTGGTGGGATGCCAATCCATCAACAAGATGGAGCTGATATTTCCCCCAAATCTCTATTTCTCAGATTTTTAAATGAAAATAAAAAAATACAAACACTGGGAACCACAAAATGAAACAAGTTACATGTTACTGTATGATAACTCTATAATAATCCACAGAAAATGGCTGACAGGAAGGTAGAAAAATTAAAAATAATTATCCACACTGATAAATAACAGCTGAAGTCAGAGAGGAAATGTGTTTCCATATAAATTAGTCTGTCCCCTGTGAGCAGATATCTGTAAATGTTACAGTCTTGTTTAAGGACGTCAGGTTGAAACAGAAGTTGTTGGTTCTTTAGTTTTGTTGGCTGGTCAACCTCAGACATTTCAACTTCTCCGGCTCGTTCACACCACAATGTCACACCAGAGCCACTGAGAGTTTATAAGGTCACTCGACAGCCGCGTAGGAGTCGTCACAGCCACGAGTCGAGGCGTGAATTGGTGTGAAGTCAACTCAGAGGGGTGTCAGGGCTAAAAGTGGAGTGCTAAGATCTTTTTTTTCCAGCAAATTGTGATTTTTTTTAAAGTCATTTAACACTTACAGGAGGACATTGTATCTATTAGTTCTTACATGATTAGTCAGTTAATCAATGAGTCAATCAATGGATGTTTTAATAAAGGTGGACATGATGTAGCAATTTGCCTCTGTGGCCAACTGCAGTACTGCAGGCCAAAAACCATGGACCACTATTAAAACAGTTGACGGGACACATCAAATAGCAAAAAAGTGCAATTATTATTCTTTATGTTATTTAGGGATTCCCCCTACCAGTCAACCAAACGTTAGTCGACCAGAAAGGTCATTAGTCTGCAAAATTTCATTGGTCGCTTAGTCGCAGGAGGTTGGTTCATTTGAAAGGACAGACACAGGAAGTGTCCACGCTCAGCAGTCAGACAGGAGTCAGGTTAATTTCCAGGGCTGGTACCTGCGGTTATTCCACAGGCTAGTTAATAACATGTCGGGCAGGAAATCCAAAGTGTGGGATCATTTTGAGAAGGTGAAGGACGAACCCAAGGTGATATGTAAACTCATCTTCATTGGTCGACTACAAACATGACGTATCATCTGAAACATGGAAGTAGCTACATGCCCATTAGCCCACAGCGTCATTAACAGGCGGCTCGCTCAGTGTGTGACGTGCACTTGGAGATAAAATATAGGCCTATATTAATGAAGGTTCATTAGTACGGTTTGTATTTCTCTGTAATGTAGCACAGTGTTAACAATGTTACTGATACTATTCTTTCTCACACCTTCAACTCAAACCACCAAAATATATCATTTAATCATTACATTCATATCAGAAACATGCAGGAGACTAGTCCACTGATGGACCCTGATGAGGACTCTTGGTCCACTGATGGACCCTGATGAGGACTATTGGTCCACTGATGGACCCTGATGAGGACTGTTGGTCCACTGATGGACCCTGATGAGGACTGCTGGTCCACTGATGGACACTGATGAGGACTGTTGGTCAGCTAGGAAAATTCCTTGTCAGGGGCAGCCCTCATATTATTAATCTTGGATCATAAATGTGTTGAGTAAACTTTTGCTCCCTTTGCTCGTTAGCGAGGATTTCTGTTTTGTTCCGGTTTAGTTTGAGGACCTTTTGGATCAAACATAAATTGAAGGTGGACTAAGGTCATCAGGATCAACAGCCATACAAATAGAGCTGGATGTCATCTGTAAAGTAGTAAGTCAGTGACACATGACCCCTATTGGTAAGATACTGAAAAGTAGAGGACCCAGGACGGAGCCTTGTGGTACTCCAGATGAGATGTCGGTTTGTGATGAGGTTTTAAACTTAGACATAAAAAGTTTGCATTGATAGAAAAAAACAGTTTCACAAGAACTTGATGTACAAAAGACATTTTATTGTATTTTTTTTGTCATTACAGTTTCTCTGTGGCTCCTCCTTCTAACCTCCCGTCAACCAGACATTGATATACCTCCTCCGTGTCGTCACACATCCTGAAGCCAGCATGCCCATCATCAGCAATGCAAACCACGACTTCAGCACCTACTCCATCAGCAGCGATGACAGCAGCCTCGACCGCTTCTTCACAGAAATCCCAGAGACTGAGACCATCAAGGGTGTTTACTTCCAGCGCGCCCAGCTGCTTCGTGACCCCAAGGCCTCATTTGTGGTCGACCACACTTTACAGGTTCTCATCAATGTTGGGGGCAACCGCTACACATTCCCCTGGAGTACCTTGGAGCAGTTTCCTCAGAGTCGTCTGGGACGTCTGCGTTTCTGTACCACCCCTGAGGAGATCGCACGACTGTGTGACGACTATGACGAGACGTGCCAGGAGTACTTCTTCGACCGGAACCCGACAGCCTTCAGGGTCATCCTCAACTTCCTGGCTGCAGGGAAATTGCGTCTGCTTCGGGAACTGTGTGCCGTGTCGCTGCACGATGAGCTTGACTACTGGGGCGTGGACCCGGGACATATGGAGCGTTGTTGCCGGCGCCGCATGATCACCCGTGTGGAGGAGGTGGCTGAGCGAGAGCGCAAGGAAGAGGAGTGGAGGCAGAAGAGGGTGATGATGAAGAAAAGCCCAGCTGAGGCTGAAAGGGGCTATCGCAAACTGACCTGGATGCTGCGAGAAGTGGTGGAAAACCCACAGTCGGGGTTGGCTGGCAAGTTGTTCGCCTGCCTCTCGGTTGTCATGGTGCTGGTTACTGTCATCAGCCTTTGCATCAGCACCATGCCAGACCTCAGAGATGAAGACTCCAGGGTGCGTATGAAGTCGATGAAAAGCTGACAGCCACATAACATCCTGTCAAACCTGTTAAACACACAAGGCCTTTCCTCTGTGTGTTAACAGGAAAGTTTATATCACAGTATAAAGAGGCATCTAGTGACACAAAGTAAATGAATCCAAACATCATCAGATATTCTTTGTTAATTATATTTTGTCATAAAAATTATGATCAAATCTTTGAGCTTCACAACATCTATATATTCAGATTGTTCTCATGCACTGTTCGTACATTTTCCTACCAAAAGTAATGCATCAGAATTTCCGTATATCCCATATAATCATGAGTCAGTAATTTGTGTGTAACCCACGTATTTTGGAAGGCTGTGATCACATGACCACTGACGGTAGTAAGGAAGTGGTCCCAAGTTGTCCCTGTAAGGAGGCAGGTTGGGGTGGTGGATGTGTCACAAAACACCAGACCACTTGTGCGCTTCATATGTGGCAGATATGTTAAAAATTTACGTTTCATTTTTTCAATTCTATGTTGTGACAATGCTGTAGTTGACGTGTGGTGAGGTTTAGGCACAAAAAAAAACTTGGTCAGGGTTCAGAAAACATCAAGTTTTGGCCCAAAATACCTGATTTGTTTACGTCAAACATGACATGCCCAAAACTCTTGTTTAAAAGCTACCAGCTTTTGTCTTTAGAAATGCGTCTGGAAATGTGTGGACCTGCTGTGCCGTTAAAAAATACCTGCTCTTGTCAGAGCAGGCGCCCCATGTACAAAAGCCATGTCGGCAGTGGCTGTGGGCTTTCCTGCATGTCACCCTCTCTCCCTTCCCCCTTTCACTGTCCTGTCAAATAAATGCCAAAAAGCCCCCCCCCCCAAAATCTTTTGTTGGTCTCAGTGGTCTACTGCTGTCTGCTACTTGGCAGCCATCTTGCCTAGGTGTCACATCATCCGCCATCCCTCCTCCTCCTGAAGAGAAACAGCTCATATACATGAAATCTGAACCAGTGGTTCTCAAGTGGTGAGTCATGGTCCAGAAGTGGGTTGCAGGTCCATTCTGGATGGACCACAAGTGACTCGTGAACGTGTCAAGTTTGTAAAAATCGAACTTTATTTCTAAGTACAGTGAATTTCTGGCACATATTTTGAAGTCCCATTTCCTGCTAAAAGGTAAGTGACTAACAGACAGCTACTTGACAGAGACAGCACAACGCGACAACATGGCCAAACGCAAGTATGACGCAGAATATTTTAAACTGTGTGGACCTTGAACTGATGACTGAGGAGAAAGCTGGACCAGTTAGAAACCACAGATTGGAACTGTGTCATATGTATGAAACATAGAGATGTGTATCTGTGGTCTGCAGAAATGTACAATGGCAACATTATTTTCTGGCGACTGGGCTGTTCCATAACAGCTCCGACAGTCTAAACTGAATGCTGTCAGGTTCGGTTCAGCTCTGCAGCAGACAGAAATGCACAATAAGAAAGTCAATTCTTCTATAACAAAAACCTATGTCAATAATTTGAAAGGAGCCACAATCACAAATAAAATAATATTGAATTAAAGACTAAATGTAAGAGACAATCTAAAATACTTGAGCAGACAACCAGTATAAACTCAAAAACAGTTATGACACAGTTAATTCTTCATTAGTTGTTGTTGTTTGCAGCTTTTTCAATAAAGTCCCATAAAGCACAGTCAACACTAAATAATCACAAATGATGAAATGAAAGCTGGCCTCTATGAAATCAACCAATAATTAATAATTTTAAGTCAGCTGGAGTACAGAAATAGATAAATATTCATCAGAATAACCAGATTGATGGGAGACAGTCATCACAGTTAAAATACAGGTAGCACTGGATAAAGCCAACATCAGGGTTACTGTAAAGCCTGAGTGTGTGTGTGTGTGTGTGTGTGTTGGGGGGGAGCTGACATTGGATTTGCCGACATGACTGTTAAATCATTTTGTATGACTCGTTCCAGTTGACAGACGCAGACAGGCTGTAGCATTGATTGTATAACTGTCAGCCTAAAGAGTCTGAACACTATGTGATTATGTTTCTAAGCCGGAGACGGTGGATTGATTTCTCCCTGATGTCTGTGCAGTCAATCCCACTAATCAGGACAGGAGAAAATCAGAGTGTGGACGTGTTCAGCTCCGAGGCTGAAACACGTATACACATATTTCTACATGGTGACAGACGAGAGTTGGACTGAACAAACATCTGGAGCTGTGTTTCTAAAGCAAAGCCAAGATTCCTTTTAATTTCTGGAAACAAGTGTTGTTTTCAGTTTGTGGTCTGGCAGACGCCTTCGCCGACCACTTAACTTGCTTTTATTCAGTTTGACAGGCAGAATTACAGAAAGTGGAATGTTAGTTTGTGGAGCAAACCAAGATGTACAAATGAACTGCAATCTGTGGTCATTTAAGGAACAATAGCTCCTTGACTTCAGACAGAATTTAACAAAGCAGTTACTTATTTTTTTGCTGCAGGAATGAATCTTACAACCCAGAAATGAGTTTGCATTTTAGTATTCCTGGTTTCTTTGTCTTGTAGTCAATGGGTTTATTTGAATGGGTTTTTGGTTCGATGCCTGAAATAAGGTCTGTGGTTAACACAAGCTGAAGAGATTTTCATGTTTTGTTCTACAACATAAAATACATCAGTCAATATGAATTTTGAAGTATATTTAAAAAGATGATTGCTAACAAATGGCTGGATGAGACTTCAGAACAACATCACGCCAAATATAAAGCCTTTTGTTGTGGTGGCAATGTTAAAGACATGTGACTGAGACGTATGTTGTTTGCTTTGTACTTTAGCTTTTTACCTCTGGCAGTGGCATTTATGCCCTTTTACACTGCCTTTTCAAGGCAGGAATTTCACGCCTCATTATACGGCCTCAGCTTTCTGTATAAACGGTACAATCGCGGAATGGAGAGACAGAGTTGTCTGGCCTTTAAGCTGGAATTGGAAGTAGTATCAGCCCTAGACAATGTCTGGATAAAAGGGATAGCCAGCAAGGCGGCATCATGGGCAGCAGAGGTATGACTTTTGGGGACACGTGTGCAACCCACTGTTCGAGACATAGAAATTAGGTGGTAGCAGTTAGCAGCTAACTTAAAGCAGAAAAACAGTGGCTGAAAATGTCAGCAAATTATGATAATGAGATTCAGGAGCTCCTTACCCTCTGAGCAGAGGACGAGATCAGCCGCCATATAACAGGGACGGGAAATGATTGTTATTGACATGTGATGTCGTTGTTGTTTATAAAGCGCTGCTGACGAGTACTTTATACGTAACACTAGAGGTTAATATTGTTGTTTTAGACGTCAGGCCTGTCACGTCCATCACATCCTCCCTTAGAACACACGTGTCATTTACTCCATTCCTCAACTTTGTTTCTTGTATTTTTGGTGTGCTGGGAATTTCAAAAAAGATATTACCTTGACCCTTGAGGCCGGTTGTACCAGCCCGTTTTCACTCCCAAAAGGTAAAATACCATCGCTTTGTTAATTATTTCAGCATCAGGTACGACGTACAGAGGCACTTTTGGCGGCGGTATGATACGCAACAGGCTGATATTTCAGATCCATTTCACTTCAGTTTTATTCATAAAGCCCAATATCAGAAATCACAGCTGATGAGGAAAAACTCCCCAAAAAAAACCTTTAACGGTAGAAACCCCAGGAGGAGCAAGGCCACAGCTGACCTCTTCAAATGTCAGTGGCTGTGTCAGTAGATGTTGGTGTCAGACACTAACACACCAAGACACTTTTTGTAGTGGTGGCGGCGGTAGCTATTATTGACGCCACCTGCAACCACTGTAGTATAAAGAACAAGAAAGTCTGTGTAGGTTAAGGGGGGAGGGGAGATGGATGGGTCAAACAAACTCCTGACTTTAACCTGAGAACCTGTTGTTCGTTTCCTTTGTGAAACCAAAAGTCAGTGGAGTTATTTTGATAACAACGTAGTAGAATGTATAGCATGCTACGATAGTGACGTATGTCACATGACATAAGCAACAACTGCACTTATTTTAAGCCAAATCATGATGTTGGGTTGATCTAAGGAAATAAATGTAAAAATGAAGTTTTATCTCAGGGATGAGAACGGCTTGGTTCTACCTATGGTTGCTAATGCCAGGCTAATCTCTGTTTGCGAGGGAGCTAGCAAACAATCAATCAACATTCATGTAAAGATGTAATGCCCTCTAAAAGAGAAATACCATGTAGAGTATCAACAAATCAGCTATAATGCTGCAGTGTAAATGTACTTTAAATTCATCCAGCTTTTCTTTAGCTGTGTGGAGGTTCCTACACTACGTTACAAGCTAATGACCAGATATAGACTGATAGATGAATTATGTAGAAAGCTATCAACATACTGGAAAGCAGAAAGTTCAGATCGAGTTCATCCTCATTTCCTGAACATTTCTTCCTTCACAGATAATTCACTTATTTCTAGCAGTTGTATTCCCTCGGGTCGCTCAGCATGCACAACTCTACATTAAAAGTATTGATTCAAGTGTTTAATTAAAGCGGCCCTCCAGCCTTTCTCATTGGCAGAAAACATAAAGTGCTCATTATGTGCAGTTAGAAAAGCATTTCACAAGGTTATAATTTTAGCTTTAGTATTTGTGACGAGCGTTCCTCATTAGAAGGTCTTGTTCTTTTGTTCTCCACCATCATTCAGTCAGCGCTCAAAGTCCCACTGAAATGGAAATTGATTTTCTTCACACTTTAATGACATGAAGAACACACTTCTTTTAACATTCAGTGCCAGTGAGATGTTGTAGCCAGCAGCTTGTTGATGAACCAAAATCAATTCAAGTGCGCTAATTGTTTTTTTCTTCTTGTTTTTGCAGAGACATAATGTTGAAGTGTTGGTATGAAAAACAGGGCAGGCAGAAAGTATTGTTTTCAGAGAGCAGATTATTTGGATATCTACAGATTTGTGTAAAGCTTTATTCATCTGTAGCGTATGTTCATGTTGACATAAAGGATTCACTGTGGATTAGAGTTGCAGCGATGAGCCGGTTTCAAGGTTTACCATGATATAAAAGTTGACGGTTATCATACGGTGTACATTTGCTTATCTATGATATTGAAAAAAAATATATATCTGGACGGAGAATCTCTCCTTTATTTGAGTTATTTTCAAAGGGGAGACTTTTTACACAAACTTCCATCAACAAAATGGATTCAAGTTTCAATTATAGTAATAAAACATTTGTTCAACAATAACCAACAATTACCCCTCTGTTTTTATTCCTTTAAAGCTCATTCTGATTGATAATAATATAAATTCTGTAATACTGTGATACCATGAAACTGCGATATTTTCTGGGACAGTTGTCTACTCGTTGCAACTCTACTGTGAAAATATGTGCTGCAATCAACATATGTAGTTGTCAAAGGCACAGATATATAGCATGATACATCAAACTGAAAAACAGGAAGAAGAAAGAGAAATATTTTATCTTTAAACTCAGATGATTTAGTATTGCACTCCCATAAAACGGATTTAAAAAGATATATTCAAAATTGATGCAATTTAAAGTAGGCTATTCTTTAATTAAACTGATTGTTCTTTATGTAGAAAAGACGTCACTTTAGTAAAATTACATAGTAGTTAAGTTTTATATAAAAATCTATATGTTATAAATGTAGTAGCTTCTGTAGCTTCTTCTGCAGTTGATGCAGAAGAAGTTGATGCTGAGATATTCCAAATTTTATTGTAGTCCCTAACATAGGTCCTGCAAAAAAAATGCAACCAGAGACCGTTTATAAACCAAGAGTGTTTCTCAAAGTCAAGGAAGGATCCTTGAATGGCTGAATTTGAAGGACGCTATGTCATCGACCCGCCGAAGGACTGTTCCAATGTCAAGGATCCTTCTGAGTGTCACCGAGGACTGAGTCCTTCTTTCAGAGAAACTCCAAGGATACATGTGTGGATCCTCAGCGGGTAGAAAATCCCCACAATGCTTTGCACACGATTTGCTGGAAGTGAGGGCGGGGCCTCTTCAATAAAACCTGCGCCAGCGGAGCTCGTATTTAGATAAATATGTCATCTGTTTGGATTAATGTCTCCAGGAGTCTTTATCATATAAGCATAAAAATATACTGACAGAAACCTCATAATTTACACTTTCCACTGTGTCCACTGCCAAATAATGGGATTTTTAAAATAACTTGATTCAGATATAAACATAAAAGTTTTTTAAATTAATCATTTTGTGATCATGATAAAGCTACGTGCCACAAAAGTTTCATTTAACCTACCCGTTTGTTTTCTTAAGTATGATCCAAGTCTGCTGAGGGTTAATGACGATCACCTGGGGACACTCGTTAGCCTGTTCCAATGTGTGTTCACTGAATGCTAGGGAGGACTCTTGCCTCTGCAGGATCCTTCCTTGGAAGGACTCATGCTACCAAGGAAGGATCCTTGACTTTGAGAAACACCACAAGACAGCCCACCTTAGATTCATGTCCTGTGTCTGTGTCATGTGGGTTTCGCCACTGCCCCGCCCCTTTAGGAGACTAGCTGCGGTCCTGAGTCAGTCCAATGGGAAAAGTGAACGAGAGCAGATTATGACTAAGAAAAATTATTTTACCATTTCATACGACTGGCACAGCTTGTAATGTAATGTGTTATCTTTTGTCAGAGAGTATCTTTAATGCAGCTCAGTGGTGTCTCTCATCAGACCCCTCCACCTGAGTGCCTGCCAACAGTTGGGCATGTCGGCTTGTTGATATAAATTAAAGGCCTTCAGTCCAGGGTCCGAGTTATTTTCTCCAGAGTCACAGAACACAGATACAGTTGTGTTCACAGGCTGTGGAGCTGACAGGAAGCAGTAACCTGATGTGTGTGTGTGTGTGAAATTGGTGGAGTGAACCTTTAAAGTTTCCTGGTAGTCACATTACGTCTCTGTGTCCACAGGGCGAGTGCTCCCAGAAGTGTCACAGCATGTTCGTGGTGGAGTCCATCTGTGTGGCGTGGTTCACTTTGGAGTTCGTGCTTCGATTCTTCAACGCTCAGAGCAAGCTGGCCTTCGCTCGCGGCCCCCTGAACATCATCGACGCCATCGCCATCCTGCCATACTACGTGTCCCTGGTCGTCGATGTCAAAGACGAGTCGCGGGAGGACGTCATCATGGGTGCAGGCAGAGGCTACCTGGACAAACTGAGTCTGATCCTGCGCCTGCTGCGAGCTCTGCGCATCCTGTACGTGATGCGGCTGGCTCGCCACTCTCTGGGCCTGCAGACGTTAGGACTGACCATGCAGCGCAGCATGAGGGAGTTCGGCCTGCTGCTGCTGTTCGTCTGTGTGGCCGTGACCCTCTTCTCACCTCTGGTCCACCTGGCAGAAAGCGAGCTGGCGCCTTTTGCCGCCACGCACCCTCACCACAGCTTCAGCAGCATCCCGGCCTCCTACTGGTGGGCCATCATCTCCATGACCACGGTGGGATACGGCGACATGGTGCCGCGAAGCATCCCCGGACAGATAGTGGCGCTCACAAGCATCCTGAGTGGCATCCTCATCATGGCGTTTCCCGCCACGTCCATCTTCCACACCTTCTCCCGCTCGTATCAGGAGCTGAAGCAGGAGTACGAGCGGCTGTGGAAGGAGGAGAGAGGCGAGGAAAAAGCCGCAGAGTCAGAAGAGAGCTGGCCCAAAGTCGATTTGTCACCAGATGAGTTCACGTCTGTGTCGAAGGAGGATAATGATGGGATGGTGTCAAGCAAGAGTCATCAATCTGCACTTCCATCGACAGCTTTCTAATGGACCAGGAAGAGAGCAGTCAGACGCTTTCCTCCAGTAATTATGTGTTAAAAATGGTGACACTTGACAACCTACTCGATCTGTCCTACATAAGCACATTTAGACTGTTATATTACGGACACGTTAAGTTCCAGTCTGTTCACGCTTTAACACATTCAGCTTCCAAACTATATCAAGCTACTTATCAGGTTATATTGAGCTTCTTTTTATATCAGCAGAGACATCACACACATACTAAACCTTTACTCAACATAGAAATAAAATCTAAATTCTCCTCGCTTATTACTTAAGAAAAATATAAACTATAATCTCACAGGAACTCTTGTGCACATTTTCAAAAAGAGGATATTTACTGAATGTGATATATGAAGTTAATATGATATATGGGCGTTCCCCAGTGTCGACAGGAAACACTCATCACGCTGTATCTGAGTGTTGATACAAGGCTTTTTAACCAAGTTCACATTAGCTGTCAGTCATTAGCAGTTTCACGTCTGTCACCTCACAACATCTGACACATCAGCGCCGTCTCAGCCAGGAAACACGTGAAATAGATATGAAGTCTTTACAACAGGTGACGACATGATGGTGGGCATGAAATGTGTTACACTTACATGCAAGTCAATAAGGATGTTTTGTTGTTGTGGAAACAAGTGTTGGACAGTTTACTCTCAAAATGTAATTTGAAAGTAATAAGTTACTTTACAATATTACTCTTTGTGTAGAGTAATGTTACTCATTACACTACCTTTGTGTTACTTTGACCAAAATGAGCTCAGAAGAACTAATGTTGGTTTTAAATGGATGAGGGTCATGTTGTTTCATAGGTCTAACCTGTTCACACATTCACACACAGTGGTGACCGCTTTGGATTAAAATCCCCTGATTATATTAATAACAGTCTGATGATACAGAACAATTGAATAAATAAGTGAATCGCCTTGGACACGGGGAGGAGCAGGCAGAGGATCAAAGTCTGATCATTATGAGATATGGATAAATATTTGTGGGCCTATGATGTGAAACATAATAAACAAATAATAAGGTCCGTACAACAAGCAGAACAGCATGCGCGTCAGTCACTATGACGAGCACAAATTAAAACACTGCAGCTGGAAGACCCACCTGCTGGTTCCCGGTGTGCCGGTCAGCTCCAGCAGCACCACAGAGAGTCCTGTATCAAGAACAGGACTGTGTGTCGGTGTTGCTCTGCAGCTGTAGGAGATGTGAATGGAAACAAATCCAGCATATACTAACATCACCCAGATGTGCCGATCACCAGGATGGAAAAAACACAAACCAGAGCCCAGCTCCTGATCCCCGCTGCTTTCAGGCAGCCTCAGGACACAAAGCAGAACAGGATACGGTGTAGATGTTGCAGGTGGGCTCATGGAAACACAGTGAACATGATAGCACACAGTATGGCATCACCCAGATGTGCCGATAACCGGCACTCTTCTTTAATGTCATCTGTAATGACTTGACAACACACAACAACTTTCGCATGATATGTTTTCTGGTGGCGCACTGGCAGAAGTGGAGTGTAGTGGATCAGTGTGGATGAATGAAAAATGAAAACAATAAACAGTATATTTCAGGTGGTAACACGTTACGCGACATTGTAAATGTCATAAAATTACCCGAAATCCTGTTGGTAACACGTAACATTACTTTGTTACTGCTAAAACTTAATATATTATTGCGACACGTTGCTTTGTAACGCGTTACAAAAAAACACTGTCGGAAAGATGATGAAAGTATAAAGAGTCAACAAACATTGACTTTCACAACTTTTTGTGGGTTACCCGTCAGGTGCCCGACCTGGTGCAGGTAATTTTAACACATTTCGAGCGCACCACCACGTAATACGTCATCAAGAGGTTGTTTCCATTTCACATATTTCTGTTACACTGTGTTGGACATTTGGAGTATTGTGCTGTTACGTATCTGTTCCATTCAGAGAGAGAAAGCTTGTTAGCCTAGCTTGCTAATGTTAGCTCTGAACTCACAGCAACAAGAACGTCTGTAACCTCAGCACTTCGTACGTTACTGCCTGATTCAAATCACGACACGGAGCGACGGAAGGAGTGCTCAAATCACAGACTGGGCTAAACAACAGGTAACAACATTAAGGGGCTCCCAGCTGCTGAACTTCACTGCCAGGCTGAAATAATAAACTACTTTTAGTGCTTACAACACAGATATACACCATCACAGGAATCACGTGAACACTGATATAAAGGCTGGCATCTCTTCAGATGAATAAAATTCTGACACAAGTCAAACTAACTTAACGAACTTTTTTACATTTTGATGTCATTCAAGGATTAAATGAGGAATGTGGGAAACCATGAAGGTAGATAAACACACACACACACTAAAAAAAAAGGAATCAGAAAGGCAACAAAACAGAAACTATTAATGTAAGCACAGACAAAAATATTCACTCTATCCCAGTCGTAACTTCATTGTAACTTCACACGTTTCATGAATGCGATGATTTCATGTCACTGCCTGTCAAAGTTTTGGATGTTGGAAGTGTCCTTAAATGCATCGTGAAGCTGCGTTACCCAGGGACAGTGATTTCAACACAAACACGAAGTCTTCACTGTGATGGTTACACAGCACAAAGTGTCATGTTTCTGTGAGCTGATATTTCAGGGGAAATCAATTTGCTGCCTGGAAGCAAAGAAAGTCATTAAAGAACTAAGAGAATTTGATTTGTTTTATTTCTTATTTAACCTTTATTTAACCAGGAAGTCCCACTGAGACTGAATGACTTTGACAAGAGGGACCTGGCACAACACATCTGAAAGGCAACAAATACAACATATAATACAAACATCCACAATAATACAAAAACTCTTCAAACATAGCACTCAACTTCTCTAGAAAAACAAGCACATCTTTATCACCACGTTCTTGATGATGCCCTGAAATTAATCAATGGATTTAAGTGTTTCTAATTTTAGAAAATGATCATGAAAACGATGGTGGCCGTGTTTCAGATGTGTTTAACAGACTTTTAATGTGCAGATTAATTTCATCATCCTGTACTTCCTCCTCTCGCTGTTTGTCCAACTTAAAGGCACTTTTGAATTATAATAAAATCTCTTTTTTAAAAACATCTGTACAGGATGGTTGGTTTGTTCACTCTGCATGAACCTCATGGCTCCGACCATAAAGCACAAGTTTAACTGTGTAAGAAGTCTCACAGGACTCGTATTTAGAACTGATCAGACCTCTGAGGTCGATTTACCGCCAGGACACCGCTCTTGCTCCTCACGACCAGCTTGTTCGGACCAGGCGACTTCACTGGACTCCCTTCAGGTGCAGCTCTGTGGGTCCAGTCTGCCAGCTCACTCTTCCTCGTGGTTGTTCAGAGTAAAGATGTATTTACATGGATAGTTCATGGCGGTGTATCAAACACTTTCTTGGTCTCTTTTTGCCTCCAGCGTCTTCCTCGTGGCATGTCTGTCCAGCTCAAAGGCCTCCTCAGCTCCCTCCCCAGGTGTGGCTAATAGCAGGTCATTGCCACCAAGCCCCACCTGTGATGTCAGTGCTGACCCTGCCTCCTACCACCTGCCTAAATCACATCCATGTCTACAAACTACCAATACAGCATCAGGAAATTCTTCTGTCTTTGCTGGCACATTGTCGGCACATTGCTGCATTTCTTGGCACATTACTGCCACTTGTAGATCAGTGGAATAATGTGAAACAGTTGGCAGGAGATTTTCTGCTTCTTTCTGAAACAGAATTCCTAATTATTTACAACATAACACTTGTGAAAGAGGCATTCTTTGAAGATTGTTTTATATGGGAGATAAAGGACATAAGATTACTCCAAGATTTCTTATGGTGACAAATACAAATATGTTTATACAGCCCCAATTCCAAAACAGTTGGGACACTGTGTAAAACTTAAATTAAAAACAGAATGCAGTCTTCTTTGGCCCAGAGGACACGACGTCCATGATGGACTGGTCAGACCACTTTGTGTCGGTCCATCTCAGATGAGCTCGGGCTCAGAGAAGTGGGCGGAGCATGGTAGAGTCTGAACTGTCATTGGTAGATGCAGCGATGTGTTTACTGACAGTGGATTTCCAAAGTGTTCTTGAGCCCATGTAGTAGTATCCTTTATGCAGTCATGTTGGTTTTTACTGCAGTGCAGTCTGAGGGGTCAAAGGTCAATCAGTGTCTCTGCTGACATGAGGTCTGCGTTAGGTCGATGAAGGAACAGAATGACCTGGACGTGTAATTCCTCACCTCTCTTAAGCCCTAAAACAGAGCGTCATCACAACCTGATTGGTCCACAAGTGGATGCAGCAAGCTGCTCTCAATTCGTATTCAGGTTTCACTCCCCACACCCTGCAGCAACAGGTGATCTGAATCACCTCCAATCAGCTCAGGGGAAATAAGCGAGGTGATAACAGCAGGAACCAAAGAACGAGGAAATGTTGCAGAATCATATCCCATAAAATCATCTTATGTTTGTAGCATGTCTGCCCTGTGAGAACTACGTATCTCGAAAAAGTCAGAAAAACAGCCTGTTTTCAGTTTTGTGACGACGACTTTTCCAGCTGAGCCAAGATGGTTTTTAGAGAGTTTATTCAGCTAAAAAAGAAGGAGAATTTTCCAACACATTAATGAACACTTCATCCTTCAGTTTATCACAAACATTGAACATCAACACATCTGGAGATTCATGGTTTTTACTGGACAGGGAGGAGATAAAAAACTGAAAGCTGTCGGACATGTCATGCAGTAAAAAGTACATTAAGTCTGAGATGGAGGAGAGAGTAGCAGGAAATGGAAATACTGAAGCAGAATTTGTCCTCAAAGTATTTGCACTCCAGTGCTGTCATGATGGGCCTCGTTTGGCATCTGTTAATCACAGCTTTTATGGAATATTATTTCTGACATTAGCTGTCAGTCTGAACTTTCATTCAGCTGCTTTAAACGCAGCGTTCAGTGTTTTTTCTGTCTCACAGTCTTTTAGTTTTAATAAATGCTGAACAGAACATTTAGTTTCAGTCAGTGTGTGCAGTTTGTCCACTGATGCATTGGAAACTCTCCTCACGCCGACATCTGTTGTTGGTGTTTGGAGTGACAGATGGAGTGTTTATGAAGCGCCTCTTTCTGCCTCGACAGAACTTCTTCAAACACTGATGATGACGATGATGATGATGATGATGATGATGATGATGCTGGCGCTGTTACTTTCACTCAAACCACCAAACAATGGAGACATTGAAAAGTCACAAACACTCACTGGCTGTTGTCCGTCACCACCTCCTCTTTCTCCTCCACCCTGCACCACCTGCTGTCCTCACCGAGGAGGACACGAACGCAGACGTAGGACGGACATGACATGATTGATTTGCATGTGTCCTGAATGACCTCATCAATAATACAAGCAGTCAGACGATTAGTGAACAAGATCATATCATATGTTTTAAACAGTGCATTTACTCGAGTACTGGACTCAAGTACAATTTTAGGTACTTGTACTTGAGTAATTCTGTTTTCTGGTACTTTATACTTTTACTCCACAAGATCTCAGACACAAATACTGTACTGTAAACTGGATATGAGAACAATTTGTCACTTGTGCTGTTACAGTAAACCTGCTGCTGTCGTGGTGTACTTGTTACACTGGTTGCACAACTCATCTTCACTGTGACCTCATCACGTGTCCACGTTTGGTCATGGACTTTCCACGTCCACATACTGTATGACGTCCAAGGTACCCTGGGTGTGTTGGTTGTTGACGTTCTGGGACGCCGTGTCAACTTCAGCCTGTTACATGCATTGTCTGTTTTCAAAATACACTTCTGTTTGCATACAGTCTCTTTCAAAATAAAAGCACTATGTCGGTACAACATCGCCAACTGATGTTTTTTTTCCATCAACAACAAATGAACGGGGATATGTTTACAAAAAAAGAACAGATTTTGGCTTTACATTCATGCAGGAAGCGAACACTGGACTCCCCCACTCTGACTTTGGCGACGTTAAGCGATGTTGTTGTCGGCTGCGTTTCCCCCTGATGTCATCAGGCACCATTATACACTGACGGCGCCCAGCTCAATATCATCCCGAGGTGAAATGATGCCTTTTGTTGTCAGTGTCTGTCGTGGAAGTCACGGCCCAAGTGTCCGTGTTGACAGATTTTGCACCGCTCCTGTATCGTATCGTCAGGTCACATGATCAAATAGAGACTTGACATTAGGCAACATCAGCATACATGTTACCAACAATCATCACTGCACACCTGTGTGACAAAAATATCAAAGAGAATAAGAAATTATTAATTTCATTGATTTTTTAAATATATAGTTTATTCAGAGTTTTTATAGTTCATGTAGAATGAGCATATAATTTTGTTTTAGATTGCAACTGTTTGACTATGGATTAATAAATATTAAGTCTCTCCTGATTGAAATGTAACATATTCATGGTTTGTAGAAATATACACTGCTTTTATTTTCTTCTGGTGACTGAGCTGGTTTTATTACAGCATCAGCCAAATCGTTCTCTGACAGTATGATCATTATGAGATGATTTAATGTAATGATTTTAAGATCAGAATCAGCTCTCTAACTGCTGCTGTCTCTGCCTCAACAGGTTTTATTCTTGGAGCTCAACACTGAAATTCGCTTACGTACAACATTTACATAATTATGGAAATGTCCAAAATCTGCATACATATTTGCATGGCAACCAAAACAGCAGTAGTGAGGAGGACGCACTCAGAGCTTTTACTGGAGTTAAAATAGCAACAGTGGAGAGACACTCTGTCACGAGATGAGTCCTGCGTTCAACATGTTACTGAAAAGTACAAAAGTATTAACATCAAAATTAACTGAAAGTGTTCAGGATGACATAGGTTATATCACTGGATTATAATCACTGATGCATTAATGCTTTTATCACTTTAGTGTTGCAGCTGGTGAAGATGGAGCTCATTTTAATGAATGAATGAATGAATGAATGTCTTTGCTTTGAACTTGAATAAAACATAATAAAAAACAAACAGGACGAAGATAACAGTGTCTGAGAAGCAGCAGGTACCTCTTTCTTACATTTATTCTTTTAACTGAAATATTATTTCAACAAATTCCCAAATTTATTTACAATATACAACTGTTGCGGTCTGTTTACCCCCCAATCAAATAAATAAGTAATAAACCCAGTTTATTTACAGTCAAAGTCCCACCCAGTGTTACAGAATAAATATGCTCTCCCCAACACAACCTGTCCACATCTATATATCTGGCAAAAACACAGTCTGTTCCACACGTCCACCTTGAACACTGAAATACACACACTCTTCTTAGTTGTACAAACACACTGGTTTTAAATTAAATGTTCCTCTTAAATCATAACCCCCCTTTCCATGTCACAAAACACATTTTGAATGTTGCAAAGAAGTGAATTATTTCTCGCTTTAAACATGATTATTGCAGTTTTAAATTTGACCAGATCTAAAACTTTCAAAGCCTGTGACTTTAAAAACAGTGTGTTGATGTGTTCCCTGTACCCCACACTGTGTTCTGTCTTTCAAAGGATGTGTAATGGTTGTGAGTTGCTTTTGTAAGTGTTGCCCCAAACCTCCTCACAGTAATACTAATATGGTCATACAAGTGATGAATCCAGAATGTGACGTGATTTATGGTCCAAGATGTGTTTTGTTTTGCTCTCCGCCAGCTTTGTTCTGACTTCACTGATCTGAGGTTTCCAGCAGAGCCTGTCGATTAAAAAATCACACCCAGAATTTTAGTTTCATAGACTCTTTCCACATCAACATTATCAATTGTCATCTGTACTTTTGCGTCTGTGCTGCGGCTTCTAAACAACAAAACCTGAGATGTGTTCAAATTCAAAGACAATTTATTGTTTTAATTTATTAATTTCTGTCGTGACTTCCTCCAAAAGCTGCTGCAGATTTTCCCCAGAACAAAGAGCATCGGTGCGAATATCTGGACACCATACATAGATCATTTATGTACAAAATGAACAGTTGTGGACCTAATCCTGACCCCTGTGGGACCCCAACAGTTATGCCAGTTATAGCTTTATATACTGCTGGGTAGATTAGTCTTTAATAACACATCATCATTTATCAGTTCATCATATTTTGTATGATTAATCTGCAAAGTAACTAAAGGTATTGAAATAATGTAGTGCAGTAAAAAGTCTAATATTTACCTGTGAAATGTGCATGGAGTAGAAAAATGTTCATCTCCAACTTGTCCTGAAGCAAATGTACTTTCCACCTCTGCTGTTTTGACACAGAAGCTGCAGTTTCTTTAAAACTATACATATTTTTATTTAGTATAAATATGAAACAGCTTCAGAGAGCCGACTGAAGGTCACTCTGTGTCTCGCTCTGTTTGGCTTCTGAGTCACGGCCTCCAAAATAAATGCACAGAACACTGAATACAAAAATAAAGCTTTTATTCTGAAAGGGACAGCACCTTTTTTATAGCAAAATAAAATAATAAATTTCACATATTCTCCAATAACTACCGATGATATAAAATTAGGACACAGCTGTCAGACATGCACTTATGTTTGGTTCAGTCATGTGACACTCGCCACTCAGGCTCAGACATTTTTAAGATGTTTTAAACTGAATTTAACATCAAACTTTCCAGCGTCACAGTGTCAGTTGTACTCCTCTGTAAAATCATCAGTCATCATCTGTTATCATTAATGATCATTAATTATCAGCTGAGGTTCATACAGAACAGAGTCTGGATGTAAACATGATGATCAGATCAGACGTTTCGGTCCTTCTTGTCACACTTATGGATATTAAAGGCAGATTGGGACGTCTCAAATTCTTCCAGGCGTTTCTTCACCCAGGTCCACTTGGCATCGATGCAGTACTTCTCTTCACACACAGTCGTGATCCTGTCAATAAAACAATTAAGTGTCACTGACGCAGAAAACCAGCAGTAAAATAAATATTTTCAGGTCAAGTACTTTTACTTAAAGCATCATAATCAATACTTTTATATCACTGTGTTTCATAGTGAGGTGTTTCTGTTATTTAACCTTCACTCATTGGTTAAAATTAGGTGGACAAAATAATAAGAACACAATACAGTTAATAGCACCACCAATGATTGGACAGTTGATTCCGCACAAACTGAATATTAACGTACTCGATGACGGAGGATTTATCACAGGACTGCTGCATTAAACTGCTTTAGTTTAACACAGTTGTACCTGATCAGAATCAGAAATACTTTATTGATCCCTGACGGAAAATTGTGAATTGTTCGTCGCTCCGATGTGAAGAACTATGTGAAGAATTATCAGAGTATGAAACAGAGGCATGTAAGTGGTTTCATTTCTGGAATATTTGATTTCCAAAAGTTGTGGTAATATATTTCAAACTCATTTATTTAAAATAATTATTTACACTTTTTTGACGCTGCAAACCTTTTTTGTTTTAAGCGTTCTCCACTAACCCATGAATCAATGTTTAAAGTGTACACTCTCAGAAATAATAAGATTTGCTTGATTTACATTATAAAATAAAGTTGACTTTACCTGCAAAAATTAAGTAGTTCATACAAAGACTGCTTCAGCTGGATAATAATCTGATGCAAAAAGTTGCCTTAATTTTATTTTTGAATCCGTCTTCAGACCCATCTCTTTTCCTTGGCCTTTAAATTCTCATCAGGATGACACACCTGACCACACTGTATTTTCTGTGCAATGCTATTTGTGTTAAGATGTTGTCAGAATATCGTATGCTGTTATTAATTGTACTTACATTCTCCTATTTATGTTTTTATTTTATCCCTTTTGTGTTTTTTTGCATCTTTGTGAAGCACTTGACGTTTCTTGTTTTTAAATGTGCTCTATAAAGAAATCTGCCTTGAATATATCAAGCAGAATATTTTTATTATTAATGAAATTTAAAGTTGTAGCTTGTTGAGGTGGAGCTCATTTTAACTGCTTTGTTTAATGCTGTGTAGTTTAATCTGCAAAAGACGCCATATTTTGTTAATAGTCATAGTCATAAAAGCGTTAGGTGTAAATGTAGTGAAGTAAAACGTGCAGAATTTCCATCTGAACTGCAGTGAAATGAAAATATAAGGTAGCAGAAAGTGGAAAAACTTGAGTACAGTACTTATAAACAGTACTTTACACAGTACCAGAGACAGTTCAACATCCTGGATGACTGAACAGCTCCCTCTTGTGGAAACTCTGCCACATTGCTGCTCAAACTTCAAGCTTTTATTTGTAACAGAGTGTTTGTAACTTGTGATCAGCGCTGGGAAGATTACTTTTGAATAAGTAATAAATAATGTAACTTATTACATTTGATTACGTGCTGCATTTGTACCTTATAATATTGCTTCTTTTAAAGAGCTGAGAAACCTGCAGGCTGCTCTCATTTGTCTAAAAACCTTTCAGTGTAAAGTCACTGCAGTAACAGAACACGTCACACAGGCTGGACGTGATAAACACATGAACAACCTAATGCACCTTCTATACTTACACGATTGCCTTGGGATTGCAGTCGTTTGGGGTCCTCACCATGTCTTTCACAAATCCCTTAGGAATATGTGTTCGATTGGAGCCTGGACAGCATCCATCTTTCGTCACAGCGTTGACTGCGACTGTTCCTGTGAACACACACACACACACACACACACACAGATTTAATACCACATACAGTTCAGGCTGACAGCTCACGGAGAAATGAAGCAGAGATACTGACCAGAGCTGTGATGCAGGAAGCAGATCAGAGTCAGAAGTGCAAGAGTCACCAGAGTCTTCATGGTTCAGAGACAGAGGAGCTTCTGTTTATCTGAGGCCTTTAATCTTCAGAGGTGATGTGTGTGACAAACCTGATCTGTCCTCCCCTTTATATACAGCCCGTCTCCATCAGAGAGACTCATGTTCTTAGAAACAGCGGCTTGTTTCCTCATCTGCTTCCTCCTCTTTTCTCCGGCACTTGTCTCAGCAGTTATTACAGAGAAAACGTGAGGTTGATAATCACATGTAAAACAATTCTGCAAACAGCCTTACACAGAATGTAACGAGGGGTTTCATTTCTAAATTCAGTTCTCAGGATGTAACTGCTAAAACATTAAGAAGGGACTTTTAGCAGACACCACATAAAGTGATAAAAGTCACAAAATCTGTCTTTGTGTCCCAGATTACACACTTAACTGCATTTTGCTTCACTGTACAGAGAATAAAATCAGCAATATAAGCACAGCAAGCGCTGAAATGACTGAAAGCACATTCAGTGTGTCAGATTTAGGGGGACTTTGTGTTGTCTAGTGGTGAGGACTGCAGACTGCAACCACTTAAGATCAGTGAAATCAGAAGTGAAAGATGAGACCGAGTTTGCAGCCCTGATCTCCTCAGGCAGGTCATTCCAGAGTTGAGGAGCTCTGACTGCAAAGGCTCTGTCACTCTGTCTGTGTATTACTGTAGTAGCAGCATAGGGATTAGTTTAGGTAGTAGGTTTAGGTTACATCTGCTTACAATAGCAGTGACAATATCAAACACTGGAAGAGGCCGTTGTAGCAGTGCAGTGATGAGAGTAACCACATTTACACTAACCGGCCGCTTTATTAGGTACACCTTGCTGGTACCAGGTTGGACCCCCTTTTTAATTCTTGGTGTCACAGATTTAACAAGGTGCTGGAAACATTCCTCAGAGATGTTGGTCCATATTGACATGATGACATCACACAGTTGATCCATGATGAGAATCTCCCGTTCCAGCACATCCCAAAGGTGCTCTATTGGACTGAGATCTGGTGACTGTGGAGGCCATTGGAGTACAGTGAACTCATTGTCATGTTTGAGATGATGTGAGCTTTGTGACATGGTGCGTTATCCTGCTGGAAGTAGCCATCAGAAGATGGGTACACTGTGGTCATAAAGGGATGGACACGCTCAGCAACAATACTCAGGTAGGCTGTGGTGTTTAAACCATGCTCAGTTGGTACTAAGAAAATCTCCCCCACACCATTACACCACCAGCAGCAGCCTGAAGCGTTGATACAAGGCAGGATGGATCCATGCTTCCATCTGAATGTGGTTTTTCCAATCTTCTATTGTCCAGTTTTGGTGAATTGTAGCCTCAGTTTCCTGTTGTTAGCTGACAGGAGTGGCACCTGGTGTGGTCTTCTGCTGCTGTAGCCCATCTGCTTCAAGGTTGGACAAGGTGTTGTTGCTTCAGAGATGCTCTTCTGCACACCTTGGTTGGAACCAGTGCTTATTTGACTTCCTGTTGCCTTTCTATCATCTTGAACCAGTCTGGCCATTCTCCTCTGACCTCTGGCATCAACAAGGCATTTTGGCTCACTGGATATTTGCTCTTTTTGGGACCATCCTCTGTAAACCCTAGAGATGGTTGTGCTGAAAATCCCAGTAAATACTCAGACCAGCCCGTCTGGCACCAACAACCATGCCACGTTCAAAGTCACTTCAATCACCTTTCTTCATCATTCTGATGCTCCGTTTGAACTTCAGCAGCTCGTCTTCACCATGTCTACATGACTAAATGTTAATGAGCTGCTGACACCTGATTGGCTGATTAGCTGTTTGTGTTAATGAGCAGTTGAACATGTGTACCTAATAAAGTGGCCGATGAGTGTACTTAAGTACTGTACTTGAGTACAATTTTGAGAATTTCCTTTATGAGATACACAACACTTAAATAACTTTTTTAAATTGAGATGAACTACAACATCAGAGTACTTCATCCATGTTAATGAATCAATAATAATAATGACCCTCTAATATAAGAGTAAAACACTGACAGTCACCTCTCTGCATTATGAGTACTTTTACTTTGAATACTTAAAGTACAGTTAATTGCTTATACTTGTAGTGAAGTTTTAAATGCAGAAAACTGTACCTGCAATGAAGTATTTTTATACTGTGATGTAATATTTCTACTTAAGTAAAGTATTTGAATACTTCTTTCAGCATTAGAGTAGTACAGTTTAAGTAATAGTACTTTGGTAGCAGTCCTAGTTGTAGCAGTGTCAGCATTAGCAGCAGTAGTAGTCATCATCACATTAGGAGTCGACTTACAACGGCATGAGTTATTTGGTTAACCTTTATATAACTTTCACTTCCTCATCTGAGAAATAGCACTGCAGAGTTTCTGAGTACAAAGTTTGGCTGTTGTTGCACAGAAAAGTTCATTCATGTTAAATATGTTTGTACTTCATTATTCTGATTTTAACCAAGATTTAATGAGGTGAAGTGAAACTTTTTTTCTTGTTCCTGTAATCTTCAGTATAGAAGCAATATTATTAGAAGTGTAAATGATTTCACACTGATAGTCAGCGCTGTATCTGAGAAGATCGATTCTTCTTTACTGGCATAAAGACAGCACTAAACATTTACATAAAGAAGGTCATTTCATTAATATGCCAGAACAGGAGAAGTGGGTCGAGTATGATTCCCTGAGGAACCCCCCAAAAATACTAGAATGTAACTAAGTATATTTCAAGTGCTGTATTTTGGTACAATTTAGAGGCATTTGTGTGTTACTTGAATATTTCCATTTTATGCTACTTTACACTTCAGCTTCACTTCATTTCTCAGAGAAACTTTGTACCTTTTACTTGTGTTTAAGAGCAGCTACTAGTTATGTTTCACATTAAGATCAACTGCAACATTAAAATACTGCATCCATTTAAATACATTAATTATAATGATCCAGTAATATAAAATAATATATATATACAAAATAATTGTGTATCGGACTTGGTTGTCTGCAGTACGGGGGCCCCACAGGGGATGGTGCTGACACCGTTCCTCTTCACCCTCTACACTGCAGACTTTTCACCCCCACCTGTCACCTGCAGAAGTTCTCTGATGACTCTGCCATAGTCGGCCTCATCACAGATGGGGGCGACAGGGAGTACAGAGAATTGAACCAGGACTTTGTGGACCGGTGCCTGAGGAACCACCTTCAGATCAACGCGGGGAAAACCAAAGAGCTGGTGGTGGATCTCCGCAGGCGCAGACTCCTCCCCCCAACACCGGTGAACATCCAGGCAAATGACATTGAGATGGTGACATCTTATAAGTACCTGGGTGTTCATCTTAACAATAAACTGGACTGGACCGATCACATAACAGCACTGTACAGGAAAGGCCAAAGCAGACTCTACCTGCTGAGGCGGCTCAGGTCTTTTGGAGTGCAGGGGGCGCTCCTGAAGACCTTCTTTGACACTGTGGTGGCATCAGCCATCTTTTACAGGCAAGCCCTCATCTCTGAGGACTAATGACTCCCATCCTCTGCAGGAGGAGATAAAAGCTCTGGAGAGCTCCTTCAGCGATAGACTGATTCACCCAAAGTGTGTGAAGGAACGCTATAACAGGTCCTTCCTGCCTGCTGCTGTCAGGCTACATAACCAGCACTGCTCACAGTAAACTGCACCATGGACACTTTATAGACACCACTATAAGCATTGCTGTCCCCCATGTTGTTCTTTATTTGCACATTCAATATTCACTTTGCACTAAATATGTTCACTTTAATCCATTGCTCACTTTTTATCCACTGCTCATTATTATTATTGTTATTATTTATTGCTGTTTCTTGTATCTTTTGTACTTTTCTGCATGCCTAGTGTTTTTAAGTTTTTTAAGTTTTTAAATACTGACATCTTTAATCTGACTCTTTCCCCTGACTGCTGTAACACTGGAATTTCTCAATTATGGGATCAATAAATGTGTATCTTATCTTATCTTATCTTATCTTATCTTATCTTATAACAGTAAAACACTGAGAGTCACCACTCTGCATTCTGAGTGCTTTTACTTTTGAAGTACCTTTTGTTGCTAATACATCTGTACTTTTACTTGAGCAGACACTGACACTGTTAGTCATCATTTAGTCAGTTAAGAAGAATGTTACTCACGCTGAATTGGTTAAAGCCCAACCCGCCGACCTATAGCTTGTGGTTACAAAAAGTAGGAGACATATATGAAATGGAACAAATAACATATGAAGTGAAGCTTCAAAAACCTAAGTTTATTAAGAGATGGACTCCAGCTAAGATGCTATTACATAACACAATAAAATAAGTTTTCTTTTTTATGACTTAACTTGGAGCAGGGATCCTTTATGAATTTGTTATATATAGTTTTTTTCTGTTTTTTTTACCCCTCTTCCTTTAATTAATAGTTTTTTGTTGGGTTTATTTTATTTCACCTGTACTTGCCCTCCATGTTACTGGTCTTGACAAGTTATATAATGGGAAGGAGTGCCACGAGGATGATACAATCCATGGTGTGTATGTTGAAAACATGATTTGTAACGAACATTTTGACAATATGGATTGTGGTTTATGCTTTGTTGATGGGGCAGGTTGGCATGGATGTACCTAATGAAATTACGATGCTGTACTAGGCTGAAGATGGAGGTTACTTTATTATCATCATTATTGTAATTTATTGTTTTTTTTTTTCATGTCTGTGCCATGTCAAAAAAAAAAAAAGAAATAAAAAGTGAGAAAAAAAAGAAAAGAAGAATGTTACTTCTCTGTTGGCATGAAAAACACAGTTGGACTACTTAGCTTTACAGGGTCATTCATTAATTTACAAGAGGAAGAGTAATGGGACAAGTATGATTCCCTGAGGAACCCCAAAGAAGTGCTGGAAAGTGACTAAGTGTTTTACAAGTGCCATATTTTAGTGCAATTGTATGTTACTCGAATATTTCTATTTCACGTTTCTTTACACTTCTGCTTCACTTCATTTCAAACTGTACATTTGAAGTTCATTTTGTCGCTAATACTTCTGTATTTTTAAGTAAGTGCAATTTTGATTGCTGACACCG